AGTAGATTTATTATGAGATATTTATTTAAGGGGGAAATTCTGGGGAAAGATGTTCAATCACATGAACATTAAAATAATTCAATGAAATCAAAATACGACTGAGTATGCCAATACTTTTTAGTGACTGATGATTCATTTGATGATTATGTTTAGATTAAAATATCCATTTGTTCATGGGCATATTAATTAGATTAAGTGGTTGAAATGTTTCCTAATGCTATATCACATTACATAATATTTGGCAAACAATAGGTACAAAATATTGTGTTGTTTCCTGATTGAGGGCAACCTTAAACTTTTTTTTCCCTGAGCAAGGTAATTTATGATTTGTTCTCCCAAAGCACTCAGAATCCAATTACACCAAGAGATCATTAAAAGTCACACATGGTGTCCTAAAGGATAGATATTAAAAGGTAATGAGAATTATATTCATTAGGAGTGTGTATGTATGAGGATGCTGTGCTACCTGTGTTTTCTTTGTCAGGCCTTTTCTTTTCCCATCCATAGAAACCTCCCACAACCCATCAATCTGAAGAATTAATGGTGTGTCTACCAATTCAAGCCATAAGGAGATGATCAAGGCCTCATAAATTGTGTTAGAGCAAATAAAGTCTGCAAATTGGGACTGCTAGCAGAGCAATCAAATTTCCCAACTACGTGCTTGCCCTGGAAAATGTGTCAATGGTAAACAGCAGAGGTAAGAACAGAAAAAAGCTAGGAAGATGCACTGCCTGTCAGGAACAGAAGGCGGAGCACGTGTGTGGGGCCCTGTGGGAGGAGTAGGGAGACACCTTGACTGGAAGGGACTCAATAAAGGACTAAGCCCTCTAAGCTCAGTAGCTTGAGCTATGTCTCTAAGCTACTCACCAGTGGTAAGAGCATTCTTACTGCTGTGTTGGGCAAGCCTATCTCTGTGCCAAACACTGTGCCCCTGTCATGCATTCATTCTACTATTTTAATTTTTTCTCATCTCCGCTAGAGAGTATCAGATATGTGGCATGCTTCTTCCACTGCATCTGAGACAGATAGGGCTTGCTCACAGAGCCTGAAGAAAAGGAGATGGAAGAAATTTCACTTAGATCTTTTGGGGAAACTTTAGCTTTTCTGAAAAGCGATGAGCAAAAGGGAGGCCAATTCTTGTAGACGTATCTTTGGGCCTTGTAGTGAAAGAAGATGCTGTCTGCAGAGCTGAAGTTATGTGAGGACATCCCAGTGGACAAGCACAAGAGAAAGGTGGAAGCAGAACAGAGAGAGACACTAAGAAAGGACTCCAATGCAGATGTTAGGTAACTCCTACAGATACTCAGCTTTGGCTCACTTCTGCTAGGGGTCTATAAACATTCTCATTCTTTAACCCACTGCTTCTCCTGTATTAGTACGCACAGAAATCACGTGGGCATCCTGTCTCCCTTCAGACTGTGGTTATACAGAGCCACATTAGTTCTCAGAAGTCTGAATACCTAACAAACTTTCTAAAGATGGCCATGAATGTATTAAGGAACCAGTGCTTGAGACATTTTAAGTGTTGGATTCTGTTACTCCCCAGCAAAAGCATACAGTGATGCCTTTGAACAAACATTGAAGGATCTGAAAGTTTAATCCACCGTAAAGATGTGCACAATGAACTTTAGCAGCTTACTTACTAAAAGAAAATCCATACTTGAGATTTATTTCACAGGAGGGTTTGGAGACTGTTGCAGGCTGACTTCAAATTCTAGTTCTAACATTATATACTGTGACACTGGTGAAAAATTGTTTAAGCTCTCTGAATCATGATTTCTTTGTCAGAAACTAGACAGGTTTATCTATTTCTTATGTTTGATTTCAGGATGAGTTGAGGTGATGAAAAGCTTTCATGGAAAAATCTTAAGCTGCAGTTCTACAGTGTTACTGACAGGATCTGATTCTCCATTTTCAGACTTCACTTATGTGACACATGCCCAGTTAAGATGGTGCTAATCCAAGTAGATATGAACAGATTGTGACAATCAGCACAAAAACTTGTTTAGTAACTGAACTGTTGTGTCAAAGTCTGTGACGCTTATATCAGACCAGCAGAAGCTTTCTTGGAATTTTAAAAAAGAATAATCAAATTTGAGCTTTAATGTGATTTGCTTCCCTTTTTTAAACTTAGTTGCTATGTCTTTGATAAGAGAGGATTTTTAAAAACTCAAACAGCATCTGTGAACAATTGTTGGAATAGTGCAAAATGAAGTGCAACTGTTGTTAGCAGACTGGATTAGTGGTAAACCAAATCTATATCCTATAATGGTAGAAAAGTGAGAGGCAATACAATTTTAATCAAGATTGGGAATAGGACTATAGGTGCTGGCTGTGACTGTAAATGCAACAATGTACTTTCTGTATGCGTAACTTTTAAAAATTGCATGAAATTTCCATATTTATAAGCCCAGATATTTTGATTAACAAAATGCTTCCGTGATATACAGATGCCTTGTGGAATGTTTTTGTAATGTCCCTATCAAAATAACTAAACAAGTCACTATATAATTGTTTCCCTGGAATATAGTTAGGATCTCTGAGCAAAAATTTTCATGGATAAGAAAAATTCTTAGATATATCCAGCAGAAAAAGAAAACATATTTTACTATTACAAGTTCTCTTAACATCAGGGAATTGATTCATGTAACTTCAAATATACTACAGTAGTATATTACATCAGATTATCCTTTAATTTCAGCATTATTGTTGTCAAATCATTCTCAAATATATTTGGCAGTTCTACAGTGTTAAATGATTAAATATCTAGAGTTCTTTCTTGCTAAGGGTGGGCATGAGTTAATGTTTTCCTTATTTCGGGATTAATGTAGCATGGTAGCTGAGAATATAGACTTATAAGTTTGCTGGAAATGTGCTGCAGTCTATTTCTTATTTATGCAGATTTGTGTCAGTTTCATAATTCTTTAAGACTCAACTTCCTGTGATATTGAATCAGAAGAATAATATTTATTCAAATCATACTTGGGAGATTTCATTTGATATAGCCTATAAGTATTTACCATGAGCTGAGTACTTTACTTGGTAAAAGTTCAATGAATTTTAGGTAGACACAGCATATTGAAACCTGAAAAGAAGCTACATTTTTCTTTTCATTTTATTTCTTTTTTCTATAATCACAATGATAAACTCTTATAGAAAAACAAGAAATTTTCTCTATAAAGTAGAACCTGAGTCAATAGCTACTTTATGTGTACTGTATTTTGGAGAGTGAGTGATCCTGAGAAATAGGAGTGGGCACAAAAAAAAAGTGAAAAGGGGAAAAGAGGAAAAGAAGGGAATGGATCTGTGGGTGGCTAAGGCCCAGGGGGCCTTTCAAAGACCATGTATAACATGTGAAGGAGACTTTTTAGTCACCTGTTCCAGCTTTCCATTATTTGGCTTTCAATAGGGCAAAAACACTGTCATACAGATTTGTAGTATGTAAGAGTTGCTTTTATTGGCTCTAGCAGACACCCAACAGTAGTATTCGAATCCTCAGAGTAGAAAGTGAATGTTAGAGATTACAAGGAATCAGTTCTAGCCCCTGCAAAATATGAAGGTGATCAGAGCACTTGAGGAAGCGTGAAAGGACCTGTGTCTTGTACAAGATTCTTACAGAAGCCCCCTGACTTCAGAGACCCCAGTGACCTGTGAACCAGGTGACTGTTGAGAAGCTTATCCTTTGAGAGCCAATGGCATAATTCTCTGTAGTCAGTCTAAGGATCACTGTTTAAGTTGGTTCATTCTCATTGACCTGTAGTTGATGCCTGCCCGTCCACAAATGGTAACAAGTGCACTAAGCAGAAGGAGCAATAACTTTCCAGGGAGAGCCATATTTTGAAGAATAGCCCTTTCCTTAGTTCTTCAAGGAATCTCAATAAATCAGCATACATTCCTGTCACTGAATGTTGATTTTTTTGAATTTAATGAAAGCAAAGGGAAGCAAAGCAAACACCTTTCTCTCAAAATAGCTTTGGAAGATTTGTGTTTATGTTTCCAAATGAGTTGATATGACTTACCTTTTTATTATACAATTTTTAGTTTTTCTTGGCATTTTTAAGCAAAAAACAACACTTCAAAAAACTTGTTTTTGGAGTCCTCAGAGATGATCCCAATGCATAATTATGTTTGAAAGCATGGCATTATTTCTAGGGAAAATTTATAAAGTAAGAATCTAGGTGCATGATTCCATATATATGTATATGATTAACCTTATTTCACTTGTTTTTAGGGTTACAGGTTGAACTCAAGGCTTCCTGTATGTTTGGTAAGTCTCTAGATGTTGGTGTACATTGGTTTTATAAAAAAAATTATCCAGTTATCAAAACTCAAAGACTCACACAAATGAACATTTTCTACCTGCCAGCTAAACAGTATGTCTTCATTTTTTATATATTTAGCTTTCAAGGTGAAAATAGGTCCCACACAAACATCTTTCACATTATAAACTGTATTAAATTAATTAAAAATAGATAAGCACTGGTAATAAAATAAGAGAAGCTAAGAACAGTAAAAGGTAAATACTTTTAAGTGTTACTCAAATAGACATTCAATAAAACCACGTCTTTTGAGACAAAATTATTTGCATCATAAAAATTCTAGTGGTGGAAGTTTAAAATATGGATTAAAAAGCTTAGTTGGACTTCAAATCAGCCTAAAAAGAAATTTCCTTCTTAATAAAATAGGCAAAAGTTTCTTTTTAAGTATTATTACTTATTTTGTTAAAAAAAAATCCTGTTTACGATTACTGAAGAAGACCTAAAACAGGTCTTTTAGAAGAGGGAGCAGTTTCCATTTCAAACTGGATCCAGTATAGCAGTGATGAGACAATATGGAAGAACCCAGAACACAGTGGAGACCCTGACAGTGAGTCACATTTCCAAGCACCCAGATTTTTGGGTTGATCCTTTGGCAAAATAGGAGGGCGACTTTGCAATTTCTTGACATTTTTAATTTCTCCTCCTGGTATTCTGATATCATGATAATGAAGTCTTCCATTTAAACTATTTTTTTTAAACCGTGAAAACACACTATATCACATAGCTATTTCTGAAATTCAATCTTCGTTCTAAACTTTTGGACATCTTCCTGATAGTCCCTACATGATGTACAAAGACACTCTCATTTTCGGCATCTAGTGGATATTCTCGTGGCTTATACTGACTCAGTGCTGTAGAATTTATTCTACTCTGTTCAGTTATTACTGCAAATCAACACTGTGCAGGTACTGATGAATTCTGTATATGAATTTCATTCAAATTAAATAGCAAATGCTCCTGTCTGTAAACCTTTGGGACAATTAATAAAAAACAGTTCTCACCAGAAATATTTAAGTCAACAAGGAACAACAAATTGGGCAGGCCTCGAACAGAAACTGGGAAGTGAAATAATCCAGATCTTGCAATTACAATGAAAATTAGAGGTGATTATGCACTGAGAGATGAAAGTAAGTCCCAAGGTTTTTTTTTTCCTCCTTTTTAAAAAAAAGCCTTCATCAAATGAGCAAAATAGCACTCAGTGGCTTTGTATTGTTAATAAAATTTCTTTATCGAAACTATAATTTAATATTTGAGTATCTAATTTACATGTGACAAGTATCATATTCAAAAATTAAATTGCAACTAGAAAACGATTAACCACTAAAAACAATACCAAACACAACCCAAGCATTTATACGAAAGCAACAGCTAGGATTTGAATCAGAAAAAAAGGTTTCATCATATTTGGCTCATTAAACAAAGCATCCATTATAATCTGTAAAACAACATCTTTTCTAATTCATCAAAAGTTTACCCTTTATACCATGAATAACATATAAAGATAGAATCACTGACTGTATATGCACACGTGCATATATGTATATATATATATAATCTTGTAGACATACACTTGTGTGTTGGCTTAAAGACTTCGCATCTACTGATAACTGGCTGAACTTTGGAAGGTGCTGAAATCCATATTTCTACAAGTCCGTTGACTCAATAATACCTTTTTAAAAACAGAAATTACATAAAATACTGTTTTTTATTAACTGAATAGTTTCTTAAGCATGATAATAGACAATGAAAGAATTGCACTTATTGTAAAGGTACAGTAGTGTTAGAATGCAGCTCAGCCATCAAAGATCAGGGACTGGATTACTGACGATGAATTGTGCATTATATGCAAAGATGACGGTGGCCAGTGAAATTAAAATGAGAGGAACTAGTTACAGAACAAATGGGGGTAACGGAAGAAAACATGCACTACTCCTACTTTAATGTGAAACTAATTTCTCCCCTGAAATCTCCCTTTGACCTTCCTTTTACAACGAAACAGGTTCTGCAGCACAGTAGACTCGGACACCCCTCTTCAAATTCTAGTTCATTGTCTCTGAGTGTGCTGTTCCAGTGCCACCTCCTTAAGTGGCCCTTGCAATCTGGAGCATCCAGGATGTGACAGTCTTGGTGACACTTCATTGAGCCTTGGTATCCTCTCAGTTCTGTATAAATAGGGTTCATTATTCATCTTCTTCTGGTTCCTGTGGTAACGCAGAGATTTCTTCCTTTAAACAATCGCTGAAGAATCTGAGGATTGTGCGGTAGAGATGATACTTGCTCTTCTCGGACACATTATGACCTTCATCTGGGTAGACCTAAGACATTGACAGGAAGGATGATTTCAAGTTATCAAAGCAGCTGTTGTCCCTCAACATGCCTGTGCTTAGCATTAGGAGCTTTAAAGTACAGCTCACTGGAATTTAGGATGAGATGGGAATTTCCCTCAGGGTAGAGCACTTTTTAGTATATTCAAGTTCTTGGGTTCAATCCCTAGTACAAGCAAAAGTACTGAAATGTGCACATACACCTAGGCAGCATTTGTATCTCTCTGTCTGTGGGAAGGTAGGATCTTGTTCCTACGTGAGGGCATCTTAGAAACCAGAAAAACCCATCAGTCACAGGATATAAGGTTTAAAATAGTAAGCTCATCTCAAAGATTTTTGTTTAGAAAGAGTAATCTGGGCACCCAGGTTTAAAATATTCCATTGGGAATTTTTTCCCTGGGATTTATTCCCCATGTTGAGTTTTGAATAAACTCTAAGGCTGCTGCAAGTGTGATTTAAATGGGTCCAGTTGTGTGTGGAGACCTGGTCTTGTCCAGGTAATGGTGGTTTATCAGGCATATAGAATGCAAATGTTATGGATTCATGGAAGCTTCCAGTAAGATTCCAGAGGAATTCCTGAGAAGCCCAGTAATATCGGGCAGGGAAAGGGTGCCTATCAGCAATTTCTAATTAGTGATGTATGGAACTCAGAGTGCTGCTGAAGCTGCAGTGGAGATCTTAGGAAGTTGAACATGCAAATAAGGTACAGAATGATCATCTAGGGAAGCTGCAGATGCTGACCAGAATTAGCCCAAGGAGGTGTTCATGCGGTCTGCTATCACCCTGTTTGAGGATGCCAGACTATTTATATCGTTGGGAGCGCTCACCATGTCCCTAAGTGCTTTCTGTATTGTCAGGGAGCTGCAACTTTAATGTATACCCTGCTGCATTTTGGTCTTGCTGTGGTCTAGTTCTTAATATTTCCTTACTCTTCCCATTTGAAGTGGAAACATTCCTCCTCCCTCACTATAATAAATTGGAAATATATATGTAGGGGATCACAACGGAGTTTACATTATATCTCAGAGAAGACACTACATGGGCTTTTCACCAATACTGAAACTTTTAACATTTTTGTGTCTCTTAAAAGTGGACTGATAGACTGGGCATGGTGGTGCTCCTGTAATCCCAGCACTTGGGAGGCTGAAAATAGGAGGATCGCTACAAGTCCAGTCTGGGAAG